ACATACATACATACATACATACATACATACATACATACATACATACATACATACATACATACATACATATACCTGCTTTATCTTTACCAGGAGCCCATGTTCAGCAGTCACTGTGTTAGAGGCAGGGTACACCCTGAACAGGTTGTAAGTTCATCACAGGGCTCAATGAAGCAAATAAACATAAAATATTTAAACATAAAAAATGCTTTTTAAAAAAAGGTTATTTTGAATTTTATGGCAGCAATTGATCAAAACAAAAAAATGGGAACAGGATCAACTAAAGTTTGAGTAAGTGCTATAAAAAAGAAACATCTGCGACTAACTAGGACTGGAAACAGGTCAGTAAAAAGACTAAATAACAAAGTAGCATTTTAGAGAGGCTGGATCGCTCAGAAGTGGATGAGCAGAGGTTRACCAGTCTGCACAAAACTGAGTCTAAAAATAGTGAAACAAGTTCAGAATAATGTGCCTTAATGGAAAAACTGAGAAGACTTTGAATATCCCAATAACTACAGCTCATATCTTCATCAAAATATTCCAAGAATCTGCAGAAATCTCTGGCTCAGGCTGAAAGCTAATACTGGATGTTCATGATCTTCAGGCAGCACTGGATTAAAAACAGACCTGTTCATCACTGCACAAGGAGGAACACTACAAAAATCATTGCGGTATCATTCATAAATACTGATTAAAGCTCTATCATTCAAAAAAGAAGCCCTTCATGAACACCATTCAGAAACACTATCGTCTTCACTGCATGGACCAAAGCTCATTTCTAATGAGCTGAGACAAAGCCCTTGCCACTCAGCAGGTGACATCAGGTGCTTAAAGCTGCTGTGAAAAACTTGTTGGGATCGTTAATCAACGTAGAGCTAAACTCTAGTAAGTGATTATAGTGCCTTGTGTTACTAAAATTGGAAAAACAATCAGTGCTCCATCACTGTTGAGACTCCTAATGTTCACATTTACTTCTCACTTATTTATGCCGGTCACTAACTGGACCTTTTCCCTCTTTTTTGAAATAATTTGCAATTTGATAAGAGTAATCTGTAGTCAGACGATTCAAAATTTGAAAATCTTTTTGGAAACCATGTCCTCTGTGCTAAAGAGAAGAACCATCATATCATCAGCACTCAATTCAAAACTGCCTTTCTAATGGTATAGGGGTGCATTAGTGCCTCTGACATGAGCAGCTGACACAAAGGTACCATCACTGCAGCAACAGGCTTTAGAACAACATGTTTTCCATCCAGCAAAGAAGACCCAGGCCTCTTGAATAGTTGAATTCCACATCAGACAAAATCAGGACTTGAGTCTCCTCCAAAACCTTTACAGACTGTTGATAGAAGAAGAATGGGACCCTGTCACGAATTCATGGCCATGAAGTTCTAAATTTAATTCTTAGTTTAAACGTGATATGTTTAATATGTTTCATATGAATTAAAATGTGAGTTTATTAGATTTACTTCCTTATTTTTGTTACATTTTACACAGCGTTCCAACTTTATCAGAATTGAGGTTGTACTCTTTTCACCCCCCACCCCATTACTTCCCCATTTCACTCATTTTTCCTTTTGTTATCATCGTAGCACTAAAACTTTCCATCCTTCTCACAAGGGGAAGACCAGGAAGCCAGAGAAGGTGGAGTACTTCCAGCCTCCCATCAGATTGCCCCTTTCAAGTCTGAGGTAAGCCTTGTCGCCCTTCTCCATAATCACCAGGCCAGCGTTGGTGGCAGCTTCTCTGGTCACGTCTTGGTCCCCAGCGAACGCCGAAATCATCGGCCAGCCYTTCACCATCAGGCTAACCTAAGACACAAAAATCCTGGGAATTAGGAGGAGCACACGGACCCACCGGCGCGTCGGCTGTGGTGGATGCAGCAAAGCACCTGAATAGTTTGCCTGTTGTAGGCCTTGACAACATGGAAGTTGAAGCTGTACACCCCTCTGCGTGGAGCCACAAAGACGCTGCTCTCTTGGTCGAAATGTGTCCCCACGTTGACCATGATCTGATCGGATGGCAAGGAGACAGGAGTGAGGGAAACGGGATGCGAGCATGAAAATGTGAAGAATTTACATGAAAGGAAAAAGGAGGATCTCTGAAGGAGTGAAAACTGTTGATAGGAGCTTTTTAAATATATATTCATACATACTCCAAGGTCACTTAAAGTAATTCTTTAAACTCACTCAGTTAGAGCTCAAAGTATGAAATTACTGATTCATGTTTTGTATATTTACATTTAAAAACAAACTGAATTTACTGCATAATCCACCAGTTTTATGGCTGCACGTTAAGTCCAAAGGTTTGACTCATCCACAGTGTCAGGATGTAATCATATGTACATCTTATTGGATGAGGTTTTCTCTAAAATATTTTTTAACAGCATAGTAAAAAGACGTTTATTTTTCTGTCAAATGCCTCAGTGTGAATTTRGAAGCTCCCTCACRGTGGAGCTCAGTACTCACGTTATCYAAGTAGATGATCATGGTGCGGTTGCTCATGTCCGTGGGCTCGTGGTTGGTCTGGCGGCTGGCTGAGAAGGCCACTCGTCCGGAGCCGGAGCGGACGGACATGCCCAAAGCCGTGCCGGCGGGCTCGGACGAAGGACTGGAGTCGCACACCACCAAGCATTTCCCCTCCAGGATGATGGGCTCTGTGTCGTTCTGCCCGCTGGACTCCAGCGGACCCCAGAACAGGAGCGCGCTCAGCAGGGTCAGGAGGTCAAAGCGGACCGACCCGAGGTGCATGACTGTAGGACGTCTGGTGAACTCTCTCTTCTTGATTCTGCTGCACAGAGGRGTCACTTTGGGCAATCTGAGGTGTAAATAAACATGCTACAGTTGCAAAAACCAGTCCTTTTGGAACGTTTGAAGCAGCAGATGGTCCAGTTGAAGCTCAGAATGGTTCACTTTTCATGGCTGACGATTAGAGGCTTGTCGTGGGGTTTTTCTACTTTTCCCTAATGTATCCAACTCTTCACAGCGTCCTGTGTAAACATAGAGTGATAAAACAACAAATTTCACAGAGTTCCTCAGCAGAAAATTAGCCTGAAGGAATAAAAAGTTGAAACCGGGATGAGGGAGAAGATCTGAGTTCAGACTCAAAAGCCAGCAGAGGAGGCTGTGATGAAGACGGGCGATGAAGATAAAACAAACAGATGATTCAGGGGATGTAGGACCCAGGAGGGAGTGAGGAGGAGAGATGGATTAGGGGAACAACTCCACTGAGTGACCATCTGTCTTTTACATGCAACCACCCACCACTCCCTGTGTCACACCTCCTCACACACACACAAGTGCTTTTTTCATTATATATATA